GTAAGGAAGGGCAGTAGGCATAGTCATTGAATCATGTTGTGCTCCTGTTTCTGATCTCTGAGACTGTTAAGAAAGAGATTGTCTAACTAACAGTCAGCAGTAAAGTGTTTCCACCGCTTGATAGTTCACAAATGTCACACTGAAAAAGCCTTTCGTTTTCTATGAACTCTGTTTATATCCTTTACCTATTTTTCTCTTAATTTCCTTACCAATTTGTGAGTTTGTACAATACATGGAAATTAACCCAACCAACCATTTGTTGTTCTCATTGTGGCTATTTTCCCCACTTTTTTTATTGGTCCTTCAACTTTGTTTATCATGGTTTTGGCCATATAAAATTAATAATGTTTATGTGGTCAAAATTATCAAATTATCAATCTTTTATTTATGGTCATTCTGATCGCTTCTCAGCCTTTTGGCTAAGATCAAGTGTATGGTCACTCTGAGATTTAAAATAAAAAATTTCTGTATTTTCTTTTAGTACTTTTATGGCTTCATTTGTTCATTCATTCATTTATACTACTTTTTTGAGAGGTGTGATTGACATGTAAAAAAGCTGTACATATTAAATATATACAATTCAATGAGTTTGGGGATAAGTATACCCCCACAAAACTATCACCGCCATCAGGCCGTAGACATATCTATCGACTCCAAAATTTTCTCCCACCTTCTTTATTATTATTATGATGATGATGATGATTGTTATTTTTTTTGTATGTAGTAATAACACAATATAAGATCTACCTTCTTAGCAAATTTTAAGTATACAATACAGTATATATATCTTGCATAACAAACTTTTGACCATAACCTTTGACCATAACCTCCTGATTTTTTCATCCTCTTAGCCCCTGGCAATCACCATCCTACTTTCTGTTTCTATGAATGTGACTATTTTATATTTCACATATAAATAAATCATACACTATTTGTTTTTATGTGTTTAGCTTATTTCACGTAGCATAATGTCCTCTAGATCCATCCATATTGGTGCAAATGACAGGACTTTTCTCTTTTTTAAGGCTGAACAATATTCCAGTTATGGATATATCACATATTCTTTATCCACTCATCTGTAGATCAATTATTAGGTTTCCATATTTTAGCTATTGTGAATAATGCTGCAGTGAACATGGAAGTATGGGTATCTTTCTGAGATCCTGATTTTAATTCCTTTGGATCAATACTAAGAAGTGGGATTGCTGGATTATTT